GTTTTCGGTAGACAAATTTCAAAAAAATCTTTCTCGATAACCATCAAATCAAAATGGGTCAAATTTTTTATGTTTAATTGAGTGTAACTCAAGCTTTAATATAGTTATTTACGGAGCTGCAATAATCAGTGGTTGCTGAGATATTTGTACTGTGTCAAAACTTTTTGAACCACCCACGTAAATCGGGATTTATACGATGACGGGATTTATGCACGACAAATATAAACCATAACAGGATTAATATAGGACTATCCCTATATAAAATATTAATATGAAACTAATTTACATCAAATCCACTATGGAACCAAGAATTACAGCACCATTCGAAGTATTCTAAAAAAAGCTCAAGGAGAGAAAATTGCACCTTATGTTTTTAAAATCAATACTACCCAAACTCTCCAGGAATATCTAGATAAAGAAAAAATTACTTATGAAATTTATCAAGAGGAACGAAAGATAATAAACCATAAACGAACATTAATCTCAACTTATGATGAACCAAGAAAGAAACGAAAATTAGAAGAAACGTAAGGGAAATAAATTTAACGTAAAAGCTTCTCGCCAACGTCTCCACTGATCGAACGACCCGTCAACGGAAGTTATTGATAAAGACTGCTCGAGCGCATTCGTTGAGCGTTGATCATATTTCGCTACTTTGACACATTGCAACTAAGAGTCAAAATTGCACATCAAATTTCAATTTTTGCAAATTTTATTATTTCGATTATTGAATGCACGCGTGCTCTTGAAATTATAAATAATTCTAAATGCACCAGAGTGATTGCATGGGAGGAAAATACTCGGACCCAAAGCCATTTATGAGTATAACCTATTCTTTGGTCACTCTGGTGCAAATTAATTTTCATTATACTTATGTCATTGATTAAGCCACCGGTATATTACGGTATTAGATCACATCGCGCGCAGCACATCTTCTCTTTCCAACTAAAGAAATGGCGACCGTAGAAGAAACGCGCAAAGAACTGAACGATGCGAAGAAGGAACTTAACGAGGCGAAGGCGGCGGTCACGGCATTCGAGAGGGCTAAAAGTGGACAACGGCTGAAAGAGCTGGATGCGAAGGAGTTGGACGACGAAGAGCTTAGTGAACGGGAGGAGAGAGTGTTGGCAAGGCTGAGGCTCGAAAAGAAGGAGCTGGATGTAGAGGCTACGAAGTGCAGAGATCAGGTGCGGGAGCTACAGCGAGCCCTCGCGACAGCAACAGCAGCTCAACCAGGTAACGGCTTTGTGACTCGGGCGTTGGGGACATAGAGTAGTGTGTACTTAGGGTAGAGTAATAGTATGGGTTGTAATACAGTTGTATTGGGAAAACGTTACAGAATATAGCTTTTGGTTTATGATGCTGTGCTGTGTTCCTAAAATGTGCACATGGTTTCTATGAGGGAATGTTTTGGGGACTGGAGCAAGTGTAGCATCAGAGCGAACGTTTGGTGTTGCAATCAGCACCTGTCATGTATTTACCTGTCTCAGACTATCTTTACCCATGATGTTTACCCTTTTCTCATTCATTATAACAGCTGATCTTGCGAAAAAAAGGAAGGCAGATGAAGGTAAGGTCGTTTACCAGAAAGCTCTTACTGAACTACTATGTTTTTACACTAAATGCCCTGTTATTGTCTTACCTCCTCGATATATTATACAGATGAGCTCTTGGACGCCGAACGCGAGCGTGAACCACGAAAGCAACGTTTGACAGAAGCACTGGAGACGGTATCCGACCAAATTAACCAAGCACCTGGCCCATCCTCGCTGGCACTTCGCAAAACGTTCTCCAAGGAGCAACAAGCACTCAATTTTCTCTGCCATCGTCCCCCTGTTGCGGTCGGTGTATTCTTTGGGTGGGAGAGCCAATGATCTGTCGCGTAGGTGTGTTCACCGACAGGGGGATGT